CATCTTTCTTCTCCTGTCTGTGGATGTCAGAACTCCAGGATTTGGGACCTTTGGGCTCTGGGGGAGGCACCAGCGACAGAGAGAGACACCCACCATCCATCCCACCGTGGTCATGAGCCATCGTAGAGCATCAGCTCTTCCACACATTCAGGCTGCACCAGCAAGTAGACGATGCCACCTTCTACAGATCAGAGGTAACCCTGAGGCCAAAATGCAGATGTGGGCACATCGGGCCAGATGTGTGATATGGGAGGCTGGCAATGGATGTGTACTCAGAGCTGGGTGGCATCGGGATGTGATGCGAAGAGCAGGCCTAGGCAGCACACGCATCTCTTGCCCCGAAGCAGTGAACTAGAAAATGTAACTTTGCTGGTAGAATCCTAAGGGGAGAATGAACCTCACAAGCACTCCCCACACACTGCCCCTTCTTCCTCACACAATCACTGTCCCCCATAAACATTCTTAGCTGGCCAGTGACATGAGATGCACAAAGGAATGGCCAGCCAGCCAGCCAGGGCAGTGCCAGCCACAGAGCCCACAGAAGGCTCCTCCTCACCGTACTCCAGCCTCACCAAACAGCTTCCTTCACCGCACCGTTCCCCACCCGACCCCTTCCCATCACCAGACTCACTTCATGCTCTGCCATGGCTTTCCTCCATCGCCTTCCTCTGGTTCCTCCTAAGAGAGCTCCAAGGCCAGCCCAGATGTCAGGTACACTCAGCGATCAAAAGAAGGCTGGACACGGTGAGGGCTGGAGATGGATGAAACAGAGCTGGCTTGGACTTAGTAATGCCTGAAGCCCCGTGCTGAGCACACGGGCTTACTGCGCTATCCCTTCTCTCATATATATGTTTGAAATTTCCCATGTGTAAAAAATTAAAAACACATCTTTCTATGGTAGACATGCAGGTTCATGACTGGGGCTTCCTTTAGGAAAAAAAAAAAAAAAAATCACTGCTCAACACTGAAGAATGCAGTTGGCCAACAGGGTTCCTTCAGCTTTCAGGTGGAGGTCTCACTCCGCCTAGGGTGCCCCAACCCATGGCCAAGAACAGTGTAGGAGGCCGGGGTTCCTGCCCAGTGGGCACACCTTCCTGAGCAGCTTGCTCTGGGGCTGGTAGAGACCCGGTCAGCCGCACAGCCTGGGGCAATTCTGCCTCCTTTCTCCTCCTCCTCTCTTTCCATGCTGCATCGTACTCTACAGCCTTTCCGTACCTGATCCCACTTCCGCCATCTTTCCCTTTCCCAGGTGTGGCTCCACAGTAAAACCCCTGCCCTCTTCACTCCACCTTGGTAACAGGATTGCAGAGGACCCAAAGCAACACAACAGAGGTGCCACTTGCTTCCTTCTCTCTTTACCGCCAGGGATGTAGCTCAGTGGCACAGTGTCTGCTTGGCAAGCGCAAGGTCCTGAGCTCAATTTCCAGTAAAAAAAAAAAAAAAAAAAAATCCTCTTTACCACCCTTAGCCCCTGCAAAGCTAAAAAAAAAGAAAGAAAAGAAAATGAAAAAATCACAGAGAGTTTTATGCACCATACTATATTTAAATGTTTGCATATAATAAATTACTGTTTTCACATTCTTTTAAAAATACAATAGCATGTATATATCTTGATTTTGGAAATAATATTAAAAATTAAGTCTGTGGTCCTTTGAGGATAAGAACCCTCAGCCAAATGGCTCTTTTCATCCCACCTGTGAACAGGCCCAACAGGCATCACAACTCTATGAGGTCCTTTACGATTACCCAGGCCTCTCCTATGCTCCCAAAACGCTCCAATCTCTGTCACTAGTTAGCACCTGTGGCCCTGGATGTAAGTACTCTACTCTGACTCTTTGGGGAGGGCAGAGAAGGGAGAGGTCAGCCTGTACCCCAAATCAGTAAAAAGAGTCTGGAGGACCCAGCACAGAGTAGGTACTCACTAGTAACTGAATTTGGATCACTCACTGCCAGGCATCAGGACCCCTTACAGTGACCCTGCAGATTTACAAAAGGCTCAGGAAGCGTGGCTGAGTAACTTCTTAGCCTGGAGCAGACATGGAAATGGAGGCTGCCAACTGTGTCGGTTTCCTGTTATGACCACTTTTCAATCCTTGAGAACTAGCATACCCTGCCAAGTACCCCTGACTCTTTGGGGAGGGCAGAGAAGGGAGAGGTCATATCTGGCCCATGCTCTGCTTTTCTCCAAAGGTTGCTGGTGAAAGCAAGAGGCCTGGCAGCCTCTCCTGAGGGGTGCTCCACAAGCCAGCCCAGGCCAGGTAACAGGCTGCCCCTCTCCAGCAAGGCCTGGACAGGATCACCAGCCAGGGACTCTGGGTCGGCCAGAGCTCCAAGCACTGGCAGCAATCTTGTCTGGGAGCTTTGAGCGGGACAAGGGCTTTGGTTTCTCTCTCTGGTCCAGGTCTTGGGAAAGATCTTCCAAGGAAGAGATCTCCAAGTCACTCTCATCTTCAGAAAGCTGCGGGGACATAGAAGAAAATAAAATGAATTTTGATAAATACAGAAGAGCAGAGAGCTGAGCACCAACCATGCAGGCTGGAAGTGGGGACAAATACAGACGTGGAGGGAGCCATAAAGAGCTGCCGCTCCTCCTTGCCTTTTCAAGGCTCCCTGCCTTTGAGAATCTGCTGCAGGGACCTGGAGCCAGAGTGATTTCAGATACCTCTGCAATTCAGTGCTCTTGTTTTCATTTAAAAATTGCCATGCACAGAAAAAAATAAATAAATGGGCTGAGGGGATAGCTCAGTGGCTTAAGTGCCTGCCTGGTAAGCACAAGGTCCTGAGTTTGGTCTCTGGTACCAGAATTTAAAAAAAAAAAATATGGGCCAGCCAAATAGCTCAGCAGATTAAAGTGCCTGTAAGCAGGCTCAGGGGCCAGGGGTTCCATCCTGGGGCATGCAGTGCTGGTCCCGCCCCTGTGGTGTGCTGAGACAACAATTGAGACTGGGTATGGTGAGGCGCGCCTGTAATCCCAGCTCTTGAGAGGCTGTATACAGGTGGATCACTACGAGTCCAATCTAATAGTGAGACCCTGAACACCCCATAGGCCCTTCCCTAAAATACAAAATAAATAAATAAGTAAACCATGCAGATTTTTAACCCACAATGATAAGGCTAGAAGCCCACAGCCCTGATCTTGGGGTGAGTACACCATGATCAAAAGCAGGTCCTGAGAGGCCTGGTAAACTCTGAGTGAAAGAGCACGAGGGAATCTTGGGAGTATCAGGACCCTCCAGTGAACAGCAGTGCTCAGAGCCTTCAGCCTGAAAGGCATCTGGGCTGCAGCCAATAGGAGAGCTCACAGCCTGGCAAGAGACCAGGTTACCGCAAGACCACACTAACAGCCCAGGCCAGGCGTTTCCCTCCAGAGGACTCAGTGTCCCGGTCAGGTGCCTGAGCTTTTGCATAAGGCATTCTACGCACTTCCCTACTGGCATGGAAGGCCAACCAATTAGAAGCCACCCACCAGGCCGTGGGCAACAGCCATGCTCAGTGCAGTGTTTCCACCTGCATGGGGCCGTGGGTGCTCTTGCATCATAGGAAAGGGGACAAGCTGGGGTTCTTTCCCACAAACCCATGATAAATCCACCATACTATGTAATTTAAAAGTGAGGAATTAGAGGAATGGTACTTTAAAAAGAGAAAATGAGCGGCTCCTTGGTAAAGCACTTGGCCAGCACGCAGGAGGCTCTGAGTCTACAGCAAAAACGTCTAAGAGTGATTACCCGCTATTCAGAATAGGAAGGCAATGCTGCAGATCACCTCAGGATGCAACATCTTGATTGAAAAGGTAAGAAAGAAGCGTAAGGCAAAGAGAGCTCTAAATCTTTCTAAGAAAATAACAGGAGAGCAGAAGTTTCCCCTGATGGACGAAGGGAGAGCCATGCGGAGGGTCTGTGAGGGTTTATGAGAGGGAAGTGCCTCATCTGAACTCTCAAAGTCTGAGAACCTGACTACTGCGTGGCCTGTGGGAGGCACTCAGATGAGGTACTGCCTTGAGTATTTAGAACAAAAGCATCCAACTATTCCTATTTCACACTGCTGTCTCTGAAGCGCTTTGTGGTGCCACTCCAACACCCACCAGTAGGGGGCTCTGCTCAACACGTGGCCTTGGTTGTGCAGTGGTTAAGGGCCAACTTGAGTGGGAATGACCAGCTGAGCTAACTTAGCAACCAGGAAGGGAGGATTTTCTGTTGATTTCCCTCAGGGAAGATATGAATGCTTCTCTTTTGGCCAAGCTTCCCCTTCACCAAGGTTGACTGCTGTTCTGGTCTTTGCCGTGAGCAACACCTTCTTGTTCTTCACACTGACACTTCAGCTGGGAGCTCTGGTCTTGGCCTTTGTCTTGGGCATCATCTCCTGGTTCTCACTGCAGAATCTTCAGCTTCCAGCATCAGCCTTTCAGCTTGCTGGTGTAGATCCTTGGAGTTTCTGGTACAGATCCTTCAGTCTTCTGTGGTGGATTCCTTGACCCTCTGATGCAGACTTGCATGGGACATTGATGTGAGCTCTATACCTTCTGCTGGACTCATACAGGACATTGCTGTGGGATCCCGGCCTGTGGCTGGATTCCTCAGATCTCTAGCATGCAGACAGAGATCCTGTACTCTTCTCTATCTAACTCTAGTAAGCACTGGCTAATACAGGTTAGGATTCTTCATAGAGTGAGGTGAAGACCAGAAGGGGCCCTCAGTGGAAAAGAAATAGCACAAAGCTAGACACAGTCAATCCACAACCTCTTAGAGGCAGGAAACTGGGAACTACACTCACTGAGCAGCTGCCAGTATAGTGACCCAACGGCTTTGAAAACTTAACAGGGACATACAGAGAATTCCAAAATGGTCATCCCTCTACATACACAGGGGCGCAGCTAGACAATGACACCTGCCATGTCCTGCTAAGGTCCAAGCTAACATTTGCTGAATGGGTCCCCAACCCCCACCCCCGGCCCCTCAAACTTGGAGCTGGTTCTATAGCGAATGGTAGGGCCACCCCCCAGACACCTCCAACCTACCTGAGGCTTCCTTCCAGGCATGGCAGCCCTCTCTGGTCCAGCGTTAGGCCTTAGGAACAGACTGACCCCTCCAGTAGGCTTCTTGGCCGGAGCCTCAAGCTGCTTCTCAAGATTTTTCACTATCGACTGCACCAGTGTTCCTGGAAGGGGAGACAAGCAGCCATGTCTTGGGGAAAAGCCTGGAGAATAACTGCTGCCTCTTTGTGGGCCTTGTCCAGCCTCCGGAGTACAAGAAGGAAATAGAAGAGTCCGGAGGAGGGGCATGGAGGCAGAGAAGGCCCTGGCTGACAGGACCTCGGATTATTCCAACACTGTGATTATGCAAACGTAATGACATGGGTGGACGGAGGCTTAGCACACTTCTCCCCCTAAGGAGAGGTTGAAACAGGCTCCACCTCATTTTGGTTTATGAACTGCATGACTAACATGCGCACAGGCTGTCCTCCAACACCTGCACCCAGTCAAGCAGAAAGATCAAGTATCAGCACAGGAGGGCTGCAGGAGAGAATGGCTTCCTATGACCCCTGTACAGGAAGCAGGAGCTAGGCAGTGGCACAGGTCATCAAGGGGCCCCTGGGGCATGGCAACCCCAGGTGATGGCTGGATCTCAGGAATGGCCAAGAAGCAAAGAACTAACTGCATCCAAGTACAGCCTTCTGGGATTCAAGTGCCTGGGACCTGAGCAGAATTCTAGAGCTGAGACAGCTCTTGTCTCATTGATTCATTCAAGAAATGCTTGTTAAGGTTCTACTGTATATAGCAAGCACTGGGCTTGTCAACCTCTTTATTATTCACTTATGCAAATACCTCATTTCACAACAAAGGAACCAAGATCTCTGCACAAAGATACGTAGGTAGTAAGTGACACTGACAGAACTATCTCTGAAGATTGCTGCCAGTTCCAGTAAGTTGCCAGCTTACTGCCTTGTTTGTTAAAGCATCAAAATTTCTCCAGAGATCTGTTTCTGGTGAATTCTGATGAGCTGACAGGCTTAGATTATGCTAAGGGCAGGATAAAGCACTACAGTATCCAGTTAGAGGAGAGACTTGAAAATTGCATGGCTAGGCAAAAACCCCACAGCTTCTTTTGCAACCTTTAGAAAGATAAACCCCCAAATTTCATATTCTTTGACTCGGCTTGGCTAGGAAATGTGACTAGGGTCTCCATTAGAAATTTTAAAAGAAAATCTTGCAAGAATGACATAGGCATAGCAATTCTAAGAAGAAAAGTTCCAACTAGTCCTTCTAATCTGTTAGATAAAAAATGCCAAGTTTAAGGGCTATTTCCATCCTAGTTGCCATAAGTTTAGCTCAAATCTCTATCGTGCTCTTTCCATCAGCAAGTTGAATTTCTGACTGTATCTTTGCTGAGAAAAGGTAGAGAGCTCTTTGGAAAGACATGGCCCGACTGCTGAAGGCGGAGACTTGAAGCCGTCTGTGGAAAGGCTTCCTGCTGCCTTCCCTCACACTCACCCCCTAAGCTTAGGGAGAAACTAGTCTTCACTGCTCCTTCGTTTGTTCAGGCTATGGATACTCAGTGACAGAGCACTTTCCTAACTTGTGTGAGGCCCTGGGTTTAATCCCCAGCACTGGGGGGAAAAAAGTATCTGTTAAACTATTTTAGGAAATTATTCTAGGAAAAATATTTGTCAAAATGTGTATTAGAGTTAACTGTTCCCCCTTAAAGTTGTAGCCATCGTTTGCCCTGGAGGCTATTTTTTCCACAGTGATGGTTAACTCTGCAACCACAAAACCGTGATGGGGTGCTAACGAGCTATGTAAAACACGAGGCAGATGCACTTCAGCTTAGGAACACAGCTAACTGCAGTTCTTCCTGGGGAACACATATCCTACAGAAATAAGAAGGCGAGCAAGCAGTGGCTCCAACATCGTAACTTCAAAAGCGTGACACAGGATGAAACTTGTTCTGATGACGCTAGCTCTATGATCTTGAACTGGACACGACATCCCAGAGGCTATTGTGACGTCTATAGCCATGCATAAACAGATGCTCCTTTGCTTCTTTTTTTAATTTTTTAAATTATTTTATTTATTTATTCATGTGGTACAGGGTCTCACTACACAGCTTGGACTGCGTAGCAATCCTCCTGTTTTCAGCCTCCCCAGCACTGGGATTAGACATGTGCCACCACACCCTGTCTTGGTGGCCTACCCAGTGTTCCCAGCACTGAGTAGGGCCAGTGCAGCATGGGGTGCTGGGGATCAAGATCGATCCCTGGAACCCTGAGCTTGCCTAAGCAGGTGCTTAGTCCACTGAGCTGCCTAGTCTGCCCCAGCTCCCTTACTTCTTTTATTTTTGACTTCTTTTGTTTTTGTTTTTTTGTTTGTTTGTTTGTTTTGCAGTTCTAGGGATTGAACCCAAGGCCTTTGCACTGTACTACATCCCCAGCCACCCCCAACCCCACATTTTTTTAAAATTTGGAGCTTAAGCTGCCAGTTGTCCAAGCAAGGTTCAAATCTGTAGTCTTCCTACCTCAGTCTCGCTCCTTGATTTACGATGGGATTATATTCCCCAAACCCTATTATAAATTGAAAACATAAATCAAAAATGTGTTTAGTACACCTAACTCACTGAACACCCTAGCTTAGCAGCCCAGCCCTGTGGGGTTCAGCTGCTGGCTGAGTAGGAGCTGCAGCCCACTGCCCAAGGCAGCATCACACTACATGTTGTTGGCCCAGATAAAGAGCAACACATGACTTCTATTGAATATGGACTGCTCTCATGCCATCATAAAATCAAAACCTCCCCACCTGAACAAGGCACATCTTCCCCCGTCGGTTCTGCAAAAGTAAGCGAAGGGCTGCTGCAGGGGTCAGCACGGAGCTGGGCACGTGCTGTGCACCCCGCAAGGACAGTGTAGAGGGAAGCCCTTCTCTCTCGTTCCAGGGGCTGCTGTGGAATCTGCTCCTCCACCAGGATGGCAAGAATGGCATTACCGGTTTCTTCTCCCACAGCCCTATCGTGTCCCACCCACAAAGGGGCACAAGGGTGACAGGTCTTGGCCCCCAGCAGTGCACTCTTTATCCCACTGGCCCTCTGCCTGCACCTGCAGCAAGGCCTGGAAGCCTGCTGAAATGTTCCCCACAAATGCCTCTTTAAGGTCCTGCCCCGTCAGGGTCTGCTTTGCCGACCTGGGCCTGCATACACAAATGCAGTCCACATCTGGATTTGGGAAGCCAAGAGGTGCCTCCACATTTGCCTCAAGGGCTAGCTGTTTTGCCAATCCAGCTCTAACAGAAACCTGTAGCCTGGGGGCTGGGGAGCTACCTCAGTGATCTAAGCACCTGCCTGGCAAGCACAAGGACCTAGGTTCCATCCCCAGTACCACATGCCGTGCCGGCCCTGGCAGAAACCAGACATGGTGGTGCATACCTGTAATCCCAGTGCTGGGGAGGCTGAGACAGGAGGATAACTACAAGTCCAAGAAGCACAATGAGATCCTGTACCAAATAAATAAATAAATAAAATTTTTAAAAAAGAAACCTATATGCTGAATAGTCCTGAACTGTCCCCTGTTGCCATTAGCAGAATGACCACAGTGTTTGCTCCTGGTAAGAATGTGAGAAGTAAAAAGGGAGTGACAGCTTCAAACCTCTAACAGTTAAACAACTCAGTGACAAAACTAGCAGCAAAATTGCTCCACTTGCATTCTAATTTTCTCGTTCTATCTCTGCTGTCCCAGAAAAATATCTGAGGGGAAGGAAGACCATGTTCTCTGAGGCAACTAATGAAAGAGAAACCACATCAGAAAGCCCAAAGAAAGCAGCAGGGTGTTTCCAGGACCTTGGGAATCTGGGCCATGGAGGACTGTCTCCCCAGCAGCCACACTCACCAGAGGAGTCCAGCCCACCTGAGCTCTTGACAGGGGGCTGAGCATTCTCTTCTGAGGACTCGGTGTCAGACCAGTCCCAGTCCCCCTCCTGCTGGGGCTCCATCTTGGAAGGAACTTGTGGTGTCTGAGGAGACGTGTGATGCACAGTGTTTCCCTCTGAGTCCTCCTCAGAACTGAACGGGGGTGTGCTGCTGCATGGAGAAGAAAGGAGGAATCTGTGGGCTGGGAAGAAAGCTTCACCACCTCAAGAACCTGTTGGGTCTGCCCAGAGCCAGCCCTGACCCCTCCCTGGCTCAGATGGCAGCCAGGACGCTTCCCAGAATGGAGCAGCCATGCCAGCTTTTCCCTCAGAGCAGGCCTGAAAGTCCCACACCTGCAGGGAGACAGCTTGGACTGGAGAGAGTTCATCTATCTTGGCTGGGGGCAAAGGATCCCGAGTCTCTTCTTGGGAACCCAGGTTGGAACCCAACAGACCACCTCCTGTTCATATCTGGCTCTGCCCCTGCTTTGTCTGCAGAAGGGGCTCAGGAAAGGGCTACAAAGACAGGGACCACTGCCTCAGGTCCAGTAAGAGGTCAGAGGCCAGGGCTCACCTCAGCCCTGGCCCCTGGGGGGTAGGGGTGCTGGAGAGTCCGTGCCTTCTAGGGCGTGGAGTCAGGACAGACACCTGGGTTGGGCCAGGGCCTTGGCTGTTGTGGCTCTGAAGAGCTGGCATGAACGGCTCTGCCAGCTTGGATGGCACTGCCACATGCAGGGTACTGGACTTCGGCCGGACTTCTCTGGTGAGCGCTGTGCTCCGCTGGCTTTTGACTAAACACAGAGAAGGGAAAGACTTTCAGAAGATCCCATTCTGGGTCCTCAAGTCTTAGAGATCGTAGAAAGAGGGTCGAACACACCGAAGGTGGAGGAGTCTCTCAGTGTGCTGTGTGATGACAGGAGGTTCAACGGTTCTCCCGCCCCAGGAGCCTTCTGCTGGAACGCCAGAGACCACGACAGCAGCACGTGGCCCAGGGTCATGCTGTCATTACAGAGGACCTACGGAAGCCAGACGGGCTGAGAACACTGACTGTACACAGGCCACCTCTCCCACCCCCACCCCCATTTCCTACCAATACAGTTAGCCCTGCAGGAAGGAGCTGCTGCCACCAGATGTCGCCACAGGACCGCTGGGGCCAGGCAGAGCTGCGTGGAGCCTCCTCACACCAGCAGGCAGTGCCCACCCAAGGAGGACAGTCACTGTCCCTCTGTTTTTCAAATTGCATCAAAACTCATTATAGGGAAAGGAACCCAGCAATCTTTTACAGAAAGAGACTAGAAGAGAAGGAGCACAGGGAGTCACAGAGTAAGTCCCTGAAACTTCTGTATGTGGATTGAGTCACAATATAAAATGTGTTTCTTAGTACAGTAGCTCAAGGTCAAAAACATGTGTACCCCTCTGCTCTCAGGGAATGCATCTACTCAGGAGACCTTCTATGAAAGAAGGAACTGAGGGGAGGAGAAGACGAAAGACAAGCTTGCTGAGGGAAAATAGCAGGCCCTTACAAGCACTGTGTTCACCAAGCAAGACATCCACTTGGCCTCAGAGCCTCTTCCAACAGTACTGCTCTCCTCTTTTACAGAGATTAAGGAACTTGCCCAAATTCCATGGAAGAAAGTAACAGGTGTAAACCTGGGCATCAGTCTGTCCCAAATCTCAGGCTCTTGCCACAACCTGCACGGCAACCCACGGCCTTGTTCACAAAAGAAGAGGCACAGTCTGCGTGGGGACAGGAGGTAGCGTTAGCACAGCGCTCCTGGGACCTGGGAGGAGAAGGGCTCAGAGCTGCAAGGAGAGGCCTACCAAGCACCAGGGGAATAGCGGCCTCAACTACACCTCAGTGACCCGACCCAACACCTAAAGAGAAAGAAAGGACAGGGAATCTCTCCTGGCTTTCTGATGACAGCGGCAGGGGCTAGTGTCCTGGAGGGTGGCCCTTAGAAGCAAGAGCCTTTCCTGCCTCTCATGTTCATCCTCCTTGAGTCCCTGGCCCCTGCCTCTCCTGAGCTCCCCTGCCTCACTGCTGAGCCTGGCCTGTCTGTCCCCTCACAGAGTCCTGGCTGGCTTCCCACAAGAGGGGCAGGCCGGGCACAAAGTCTCCCTCAGCAAATACTGTACTATGGAAAGGTATGCACAGGTGGATTCATGAACAAACATCTGGGCAAATGACTGGGAGGGCATGAGTTTAAATCCAAGCATGAAAGGCAGCAAGCACTCAGGACAAACATCCTTCTGCCGCAGGCGTCCATGTAATGGTGAAGAGAGCCCCTTTCCTTAGAAATTTGGCAACAGAAGTTTAAACTAAATAGGACAGTTTCCCAGAACTAGTCTCATACTAACTGGCATGTTCTCTACTTAACATTTTTATGTAAAAGGACAGCACTTTTAAATTTAAAAAACAAAAACAAAAAAACCTGCCCAATAGTTTTCCAAGGAGCAATTTCTTCTTCTTTTTTTTTTTTTTTAAGGTTTCAATTGCACTTTGTTTCTTCAGTAGGTCATATTTTAATGGATACCCAGCACTTTTACTTGGCATCAATTATTAGCTCATTTAGAAATAATTTAGCTGTATCATATCAGCTGGCATGATTACTGATCTTTCCATTCCTTGGGGGTGACTCTGCCCACAGGGGAAAGGTTCCATTCTGTTCCAATTCGTGTTGCTTTGTAGGTCTTTGCAGCAATACAGAAGTGGCCCCACCAGCTAATAAAACATCACCATATTTGTCGTGGAAATCAGGTGTACATTTCTGGTGGCTCTGTCTTGCTGAATGTTTGAAGCATCTGTTGAATGCTTCAAACTGGAAAACGACCTAATGCATTTTTGGCCAAGGGAAACATCGTGGAGTAAGTTACTGCAGCTGCCGGCTTGGTGCAAATTACTTCCAGGTACCCTTGCAAAGAGCCTCCAAGGAATAATTTCTATGTGCTCACAGGATTGCTGTTAGGAATATTTTTTCTAATTCACTTATAAAACAAAGATTAAAAATAAAAATGATTGGTCCGTGCACTACTGAATCATCTCACACGCCCACAGATATGTAGACCACACCTTGAAGTCTCTTGTGGCCTAACAAGCTCACACTGAGTCTGTCCCTCCATAAGGTCTAGAACTGGCACACACCTCCTTGCCTGGAGATGATGTGAAGGGCCCGAGCAGACCAGACCCACACACAGGAGCCTGCACGGAGCCTGCAAGTCAGCGGCCCATTAGGCCTGGGCATCCTCTAGATACTCAGTCTCTTGAACCTAGGAAGGAAAATTGCCCTAACCCACAAAGCCTTTGAGGACAAAGATTCAAAGATCCTGGTGCCCATACTTTAATCATCCTCCAGAACAGGGCCTTCCCTTGCCTTAACCTCAGGTTCACAGAGCTCTGAGGCTTTGTCTTAAGGCAGAACCAGCCCCGCCTCGCAGGCAGCGCCACTACTCAGCGTAGGGGATGTCAGAGGTGCAGGGGAGTTTCCATCTGCTTGCTGTGTGCTCCCCTGTGACCTCAGTGTTCCCAGGTCTTGGGTCTATCTTCCATGGTGACTTGGTTGCTATGCAGAGCCAGATACGGAATGGCTGCACACTGTTGGAGCAAAGCTTAGCTTGTGGTTGTAGCAAACCAAGCAGGGTAGACTGAGGCTACCAGGGAGATATCGTGTCAGCAGGGAAACTTCAGGCAGACCACTGGCTCTAGCTCTGGCTTTCCTCCCGCTTCCCCCAGATGGCCCTGGACAAGCGCCCCTCAGCCCCACCCTGGACTCTCATCTCCCAGGAGGACTTGTGCACTCATCCACCCCTAGGGGCAATGCCTCTGATGGGAAACAGGGATTATACCCTTTTCCAGGTGGACAGCCTTAGCAAAAAGTGGATCCTCACAAGTCATAGTCCCCAAGCAAGCCCTGTTCCCAGCAAACCTGGAGGCTGGCCGTCGAGCTGGGACACTGCATCCCTGTTCTGTCTCTCCTTCACTCTGCTGGTGGCTTCTTTGATGAGCTTTTTTCTCAGACTCAGAAATTCAGAAAACTTCCTGGCCTTCTGCTCCTGCTGGGCTTTCAGCACAGACTCCAGGTGTCTGAGAGTCTGCACAGTGATTCCCTTTGCATCCTGGAGGAGACAGAAGCTCACCTTGGCAAACAGAGGATCCTCTCCTTCTTCCCTAAACTTCTCACACCCATTGCAGCTGACCTGGGAATCACTGTGACCAGAACATGACAGGTTCTGGTTGGCAGACATGGGAAAGAATGAGGATTAGAGTAGGGTGAGCAGCGACTTCACCCACTGTTGAAAATGTGACGGTTTAGGGTTTGGAGAGCCGTGGAAGTTTGCGGAGTCATCTAATGCAAAAGCTGCATCACAATTCCACCCCCATCCTGGCATAAAGAACCTAGAAGGGACACACTTGTCCACTGCTTGACTTTCTAGGAGTCGGCCATGGTGTGCCGCTTCTTTTTCTATTCCCTAGCACAGTACTGAGGCGGGACATATTGTCCTTGGCTAAGAGGGCTTGAAAAACTAAACTGAAAAAAAGAAAATAGTGGAGTGTAAGCTGCTTGTGCTTTGGGCATCCACCCAGAGACGATGGGAGGCTTCTTGGGAGATATCTGGTTCCAAGATGAGGATTCATTCAACTCTGAGCATGGGATCAAGATAGATTAAGTAACAGTTGAAAACAGTCCACATTTAGCGAGGATCCTTACTAAATTAAATTTATGTATCCATTTTTCTCCTAACCTTACTCTCACTGAAATGAGGTGTTGTATTTAATAATTGATGCTTTTAATGATAGCATGCATGCTCTGGCCAAGCACAGTGGCATCCAAATGCTGACTGCTTCCAGACGCAGCTTCAGTGCTTGCCCACCCACAGCCACAAGCAGAGTGGGCACGGCCACAGGTGCCACGGGCAACTGACTTGGACCTTGATCCAAGCAAGATGAGTCCTGAGGTCAGATTGAACTAATCCCATTTCCTCTATCATAAAATTTAGAGACTCAAAGGTGGTAATCAACGAGAGGAGAACACCATGGGGCTAGGATGGGGGATGGCATCACAAGCCACCACAAGAAGCCACTGAAGGACTCAGAGAGGAAGCTATGCTGCTGCTAAGAGAGGAACAGGGTGTTCCCTCCCAGACAGCAAAGAAGCCCAGGTCAAGCAAATACGTTCACCATTCACAAGGTATGGACAATTGATGGACGATCTTCATGTCTCAGTCCCAGTTGTTGACCCTTAAAACAGTAGCCCTGGAACGCACCCTCTTTATGCCCATGCTCTCCAGCTTCTCTTCCAAGGTATCCTCCAGGATGGGCCGGAACTGCTTCAGCAATGGAGGGTTTTGCCTCAGAGCAGCCAGGACCTGTTGCTGTTCATCTGGAGAGTCCTCCAGCTCTGCAGCACAAGACAGCCACAGGTCAGTGGGCCCCCAGAGATCTGCACCCCCAGACCCTGCTGCTCCAGGTGCGCCCTCGCTCTGCCAGGGATCTTGATCTTTAGCCTACGAACCTAGGACCACTAGCCTCTCCCAAGTATCAACCCCTGGGTTAGACAGGGAGGGTTTCTACTCCTGGGTACCACTGGCTCACCATCAACTCCTCCAGCAGTCCAGCCCCTGACAACAACCCGTGACAACTGGACCTGTCAGAACTGAACTCAGTCAGTTCTGCTATAGGTTAACTTGCAATTTGAAGGCTTGCATTGGAGCCCTGTAACAATGTGCTCCCTAGGCCCTGTTCTGATCCCAGATTCCCAGCCTTCCAGATGCCAGCTCCTGGCCTCCACCTGATACCCTCCCTAGGCCCAGCTCTGTCCAGGTGAAGTAGGTCATTTAGCAGAAAAGGCAGATTCCTGTTCCCTTCAAGTTTACTGTCTAAACCGGGGCTGCCTCCTCCATCTGTAGCACGTTTCAGAATCGCTTGGATTAAAATGCACACTTTGGCCCTGCCCTGCCCTCCATCTGCTCCTACAGGTCTTAGGATGGGCCCTGGAATGTGAATTTTCACATGCCCAGGTGATTCTGATGGAGGATTCTGATTCATATTTAAGAAATATGAATCCACAAAATAACAAAAAAAAAAATGATTACAATAACATGCCAAAAGGACAGCCCAGGCTGAGTCAGGGAAGCCTTTCTGGAGCACTCTTCAGTGTATGTGGAACACCTGTGTTCAGTCTGGATTCACACAACAGACAGGAACTGAGCAGGTAACTGTGAACAGGTCAGGGTTGTATGCTGGCAACACAGAAGAGACGCATCTCTTTTCCCCAGAAAGCTACCAATCAGGAAAAAACGGAATTGATTCCAAGATTTTAATACATAAGGTTCTCTGAGGGTGGATCTCGAACCTTGATATGTATTGTAAGACCTCCACAGACACTATGTGAAACATCAGCCAGTAAACTTGTGAGACAGGCAGACTTTCAGCTCCCTCACCAACCTACTCAATCTAAAGTCTGCAGGTGGGGCCACTGATCCATGCTGGACGAAGCCCCCACACCTCCCGTGCCCTCCCCTCCCAGGTGGGACACAGTCCTCCGGCCAGTTACAAGCTTCCTGGGTGCTTCTTAATGTGTAGCCAGTCCCAAAGAGTCACCAGTCTAGCAGCAGTTCTCACACTTGAGCAAGACCACGATGCCTTGGAGGGGGTGAAAACAGCCTGACAAGTTCTGCCCTTAAAGTTTCTGCTTCTATTTATCTAGGATGAGGTCTGAGGCTGCGCGAAGTTGGGTTTCTAACAAGCTCCCACACCACGCTGCTGCCTGCTGTCTGGGACATGAAGACACGGACAAGCACATGAAGAGGCGCAGCAGTGTGATGAGCAATGAATGTCCCACGTGACAGTAAGGACTCACTGGGGTCCCCTTGGACTCACCCATCTCAGCCCACTCACCACCAGAACTTTGAGGATTTGGTCCCCCCCCCAAACCAACCTAAAGGCTGAACACAGTTATTTTTCCTGAAATTATGTGTAATTTGAATTTTTTTTTTGGGGGGGGGGCTGACTCAGCCCACCTTGAAGGCAGGGATGGAATGGCATGTGGTGCCAGGGATTGAACTTTGGTCCCCTGAGCCTGCCTAAGCTTGCCTAAGTAGGCACTTTAGACCACTGAGCTATCTCTCCAACCCTGTAATTTGATTTTTCATTACTACATCTCATGATTAAATGCACTGAGTGAAGGGAGGAAAAAGCAGTGAAATAAACTTTGGTTCATCCATCCAACAAAGTACTGCAAAACCCTGAAAAACTAATGAAGCAAGTTGAGCATGTTGGCACATGCCTGTAATCCCAGCACTCTGGGAGGCTGAGACAGGAGAATCACAAATTTAAGCCTGGCCTACGCAATTCAGCAATTTGGCAAGACTCTGAAGTTTTAAAAGGGCTGAGGATAAAGCTTTATGTAAAGGCTCTGGATTCTATTCCCAGTACAAAGAATAATGATGGTGGTGATGAAGCAGTTCTAGATAAAGGAAATAGTTCCCAAGGGAAGTTGCTAGGAATATAAGCAATTTAAATTGGGTATGGTGGCCCATGTCTGTCATCTCTGCACTCAGTAGGCTGAGGCAGGAGGATCACTTGGAGTTCAAGGTCAGTTTGGGATACACAGTGAGTTCAAAGCTCACCTGAGCTACATAGTGAGACTCTGTTTCAAAAAAAAGAAAAAGAATATAAGCAACTTACAAATGTGTTTACATGTGCAATTTGTGTATGAGTTTCTATTTGGGAAAGAAAGGAAAACTCTAGGCACACACATAGTATTCCCGGAAGCCTACATGAGAAAACCCCTCACAGCAGAACCTCTGGCAAAGAAACCAGCTAGGCAGGCAGCAGGGAAAATCACTGCTCATCAGACATGTTTTGGCATTTTTTTTCTTCCTTCCTTCCTTTGCCTCTTTTTTCTTTGCCAAGGACATGGGTATTACCACCCCCAAAACTTAAAAATACAGAACGACATCAGACTGAAAGCTAAAACACCCCACAATGAGCTTTCTGGTGATAGAAGTAGACCCCTTCGCTGGGCGAATCTACCAGGTCACTTGGGAAAGGTCCTGTCACAGCCCTGCTAGAGCTGGCGGGCCCTGTCAGCGGGCTGCCCTGGGTGCAATCCCTCCTTGCTCCTGGGTGCGCCCTCCCTCTCATTATCCCAGGAGCTCCTAAAGATATCATGTCTGCTTCTTATACTATGAATAACAACTACAAAGACAACAACATGCAATGTATTAATTATTGTAACTGTCTGACTAACCCGTTTCAAAACTGTCTCGTTGCTACTTCTTTCTCAATGAAATTATTTTTTAAAAGTAAAAATAAAAAAAATAAAGATCAGAGAATACGTCTGTTCTCTTTCTTTTTTTAATAATAGTTTGAAAAAAGATTAGAAATGATACAGAGTTTCGCTAAACAAAATGGTAGGAATTCAACAATGGTTGTTATATTGCATACTGTCTTCAAATTAGTTGTTGAGATTACCAGATATAAGCATGCAAAATTGGTCCCAAAAAGTTATAAAACATTAAAAAGGAGAAAAAAAAATGTAAGCATTAACTGCTCCTTTCCATAGCCCAGCAAAAATCAGCAGCACGGTTATCCACACAGCCCTGCTGTCCTTTTTTATTTCTCTCCAGTATCACCTCACAGCAGATGGTTGGGAATTCTGCAGATGGGAATCAATCACTAAGCGAGGGGAATGGAGACAGCAGCACTCAGCACCCTGAAGAAGAAGCCATGGCAGACACCCGCACCCCGTTAGACGCCACCTGATCTCTCTGCAGCACACTCACAATGCAGAAGAAAACAAAAGGGCCGCTCCGCCCAGGGCAGCAAGCTCTCCCCTGCGCCAGGTGAGAGCAGAGGGGCAGGTACGAGGGCTGGACCTTCAATTACACTCTCCCCAGGGCCTGGGCCTGGCCCTGCCATCTGCTAGCTTTGTGACTCTGGGCAATGTGCTGACCCTCTCTGAGCCTAAGTTTCTCCACCAGTGAACCAGAAGACTCTGTGCTCATATCTGCATGTAACATACCTGGCACCTACAAGGAACTTAAGAAATATTGATCTCATGTCTTCAGTACCCTGCACCCAGCTTCAGAGGTCCAGTTACAATTAGGTATGGACTAACTAAACAATGAAGTTGGAGGCAAATCTGTGTCCTACCCAGGCACCCAGGAAAGACAAAAAGGCCCACCTTCCTCTGGAGAGTCCTCCTCTGTGTCCACAGCCTTCGGCAGCTCTTGGATCCCTAAAAAGAGCAGAAACATTTGGTGGATCCACTACCCCACAGTCCATCCCTGACTTAAAGAAAAGCACAGGACCCCAGGTCCATTCTGGCCACACAGAGCAAGACCTCCAGGAGATCAGTCTTTTTCAGAGAGTCAAGATGAAGCAGGGCTCACAACCACAGGCACCGAAGGCAGAGAGATCAGTGCTCACATCACCAATCAGCTCCGCCCTCACCAGATGTAGCATGAAATAAGAAATCCCCCGATCTCTCTAAGCCTCAGTTTTCTCTTCCAGAAAGTGAGAATAACAACGTACATTCCACACTGAGTGGGGGTAACATAGTAAGAAAAGGAATCTATAACACTTGAGAAAGCACATGGAACACAAGTGTTATTTAACAGTTCTATTCTGCTCAATGCTGAGGTCTGCCTCAGGCATGGTAAATTAACCTATTGGTGAAAGCCACTCCTTCTATTTATACCTGCAAGAGCCTCACACCTCCCCAACTCCCATCCATATGCAAATAAAAACAAGCCAGGCAAGAACCCCCACCAGCTGTGGACAGCAGTCAGCACAAATGCCCTCTGGCCCAGCAGGACCCTCTCTGGCCCCTCTGGTCAGCCCAACAACACATATCACATGGGCTGCTGTTAACAGTTCTCCACCTATAAACTGACTCGGGTATGGGAGAGAAACCAGCCCAAGACAATAGCCAAGACTGTCACAAGCCACCCCCTGTGGACTTACGCTCAGCCTTCCTGAGGGACAAGGTCTGGATCTGCAAGAGTAGAACAGAGCAAGTTACAGCCAGCAGAGAGCAGTGTGGTACTCTGAGCAGTGAAGGAGGGAGGCCCCTGCCACCACTGGGCACGGGAAGGAGCTGGGCTACCCCACCTCAGCGCCCAGCACATTGCCTAAGTCTGTATGTGAAAGCGGATAGAGCCCTGGTAGAATAGCAACAATCCAGGAAGGCAGCCTGCTGCTTCCTTCCCCCAAGACAGGGAGATAAGAATGGCCCCTCTAATAAAAAGAGGAGGAGGAGGAGGAGGAGGAGGAG